TAATTTGAATTATCTCAAATACGGGGGCCTGGAGGCAGGGTAGGCGACAGGAAAAACTAACTTTTTTTCGCAAACTTCAATTTAAATTCTGTTTGCGCCGAACTTGTTTATTTAATGTCAATATAAACTATTATAAATTTGGTGTGGGTCCCATGTCTAATAACTGAGATATTGGTATACTTAAAATCCACCAGCCGCCACTGGTGTCTACCTGCCCTAAATAAAGGGTTTTCCATTTTGAGTGTCATAACTTTAACCCTAAAAATAAGGCTGCTCTGGAATGTAAATGTCAAATCTTGACAACACATGTGTTCAGTACATTGTGTCAAATTAATATGGACAGATAACAATTTAACAGCGCTTAGAAATAATTCGTATTTACCATCAAAATGCATGTTCGGTTTGCCAAACATTTTGCAAGTTGCGAGAAATATAAGGTTTATCGTTTAAGAAAAAACTGGTTTACTGGCAAATAAGCCAACTTTTGTGCATCTAAAGGATCATGTGAAATCTTAGGTTTACAAAAATAAGCCACGAACAATTCTCGACCTTAAACGAAACATTAAACGCACTATTCAAAGTATACCACGCGATATTTGTAAAAGAATAGTAGAAATTAGGCCTTCATAATGCATTCAGTCAGGCAAAGTCGAGGGGGACATTTAAACGATATTATATTTAAAACATAATGTCATCGATCGTTCTTCAAAATAAAATATAGATTACGGGATTATAACATGTAGTTATTTTTTTATCTCATTTAAAAGTTCTGACGCTCTAAATGAAAAACCCTTTATTTACTTTAATTTAGAAATGGATACTAAAAATTTATACTTACAGCTTTTCAATAAAACTTTTCAACAAACACCTGTCTACCTGCCCTAAATATCTACTTTAATTAAAAAATGGATACTAAAAATTTATACTTACAGCTTTTCAATAAAACTTTTCCAATTTCACTCCCAGAGTTGGGAGTACTGAGTATTTTTTTTAATGGATTATGCTATCATTACTAATTATTACTTGATTTTATAATTATAATGAGAGAAAAATATTGAGTACTTTTTATTTTTACTTTACCAATTTGATAATTACAATTTTTTTTTATTTTGTAATTATAATCAGAGAAAATATCAAGTACTTTTTATTTTAACTTAAAATGTTTACTTATTCCAAATATTTTTTTATTTTATAATTAAAAAATAATAAAGAACAGAATACATTATATATATATTTTTTTGATTTGATTAGAATGGTGAATAAGGATACTTCCTTGCTTGTTTATGTTTTTATTGCGACTAGTTTCGATCTATATTAGATCATCTTCAGGCAAACTACAAAAATATGTAAAATTATTATAAGGTTATGTTAACATAATAATGATAAAATTAATAGTTTAAAGTAACAATACAATGGTTGATAACAAATATTAAATACTTACATGTCAATAATTAAAATATTTGTAAAAAGGTTTATCAATTATATTAAATATATGCATAAAGATTGTTTTAGATTCTGATTAAAATTATTTACAATATACAATGACTTGAAGGACGATGTATTCTTGGTACTTGTATTTTCATTTATATTTTAAGTACAATCAATTTTTTACTTTGACTTTAAACTTTTTGCATTACGAAGTACTAAAAAATATTATTTATTCAAATTAATAAGTACAATTATTTTTGTATTTTTACTTTAAATCAATTTAGAGTAAAAAATACAATGTATTGATAATTTTTATTTTCTTCATTCTCAAGTAACTTAAATATTCTATTGGCAATACTTTTTAAGTACAAATCTCGCAACTCTGTTCACTCCAAATGTTTTCACGAACTTGAAAATCCTTGTAGTCTTTGTGTTCATGGTCGTATAAACACGAAAATTCACGCACTTGGTCTATTAATACTTCGTCATCAGCATTAGTAAAACTTTTGGACATTTTCGCTAATAAATTTACTATTAATTAAAATATATTTCTATCTCCATAAATTTAACCTAAAAAACCTAGGTTAGCGTTCGCGTCCCGACTTGTTTTTGAGCAGTCGAGACGTAGCCGTCGACGGCGGGCTGCTGCGTCTTGCAGACGAGCCGCGTTAACGAAATCACTGCCATTGCAATGCATTATAGCAGTGCTCGACGGCTGGACGCCACGGCGGGCCGCGAACGCTGGACGTCGCAACGAAATCGTACCTTTACGAGCTAATTTAACGATAGCTGTACGGGCTGATTTCAGAAAGCCAAAAAAATTTTTTTTTTCAAATGGCTCTCTTCCTTGTGCTAGATGCTGTCTTCGAACACAGAAAACTTTTCTATTTTGGAGTTATTTGATCTGCCCACTGACGATAAGAAGGACCAACCAGTTCTGGAAAATCTAAAAAAGCTGGCCAAGGATTCGCTTCCAAAAGGTTGGGAGAATTGGAAGGTGGCATGGAGGTTCTCTTTGGGGAGCCCGTTGATCCCAGCATACAATTTTTAATCTTTAATAACTTTTTAGTTTATTAAGCGATTTATAAATGCAATACGTGAAATCGATCTCTATTTTGTCTAAATTACAAAAAACAAAACATTGTTAAAATCCGATAACGGACTTAAAAGTTATTAAAGAAAACGTCTACAGTATACAAGTATGACAAATATGTAACCTACAAAAACAATTTTTAATCTTTAATAACTTTTTAGTTTATTAAGCGATTTCTAAATGCAATACGTGAAATCGATCTCTATTTTGTCTAAATTACAAAAAACAAAACATTGTTAAAATCCGATAACGGACTTAAAAGTTATTAAAGAAAACGTCTACAGTATACAAGTATGACAAATATGTAACCTACAAAAACAATTTTTAATCTTTAATAACTTTTTAGTTTATTAAGCGATTTCTAAATGCAATACGTGAAATCGATCTCTATTTTCTCTAAATTTTTGAAAATATATAATTTAGATGCTAATTTTTATAAAAACTTATAATAATTAGGTTATGGCAGTTGAAAAACTCACCATGTTGGAAATCCGACTCGAGCAAATAGTAGTGCTTCAACATCTCCTGGACGGCAGCCTTCATCCTGCCTCTGATGCCGTACCTCTGCACCAGCTGCACCAGCTGCACGATACCTTCGGTGGCGAGGAAGAAACGTCTCTATCGGCCCTTTTCTGCATCGATAACGGAAGCAATCTGCTGCGAGGGGAAGTGCGCTAAAACGGAAGTGATGTTCCGCTCGTAAAGCGACATCAGCTTTCGGATTTTCCGGCCGGAAATCGAGGCCATCACCTCCTGTACTTCCAGCAGCGGCAAGCTCGGGTCTCGCAGAGACGACATTAACTTTTCCACAACCTAAAAATACTATACAAACCATGCTAAAAACCGGTGTTGAATTCATTTGTAATTCTAAATTCATAAAAAATAAAATAACGTTAAACTTCTTTTAAGCCTATGGAAAACAATTTTTTTATACCCAACATGACCTACTTTGATCAAAACACTTTTGCCAAATCCAAAATGAACGAAATGGACAACAACAGAGAAGAAACTTACGAAACAAAAGACGAATTCGAAGATCGTCACTTTATATTCAAAGAAATGATGAAAGAACTTAGCCACGGTATTTACATTCAGCAGCTGAGATCTTCATTCAAAAACCAGTCTAAAATAATTATGGCTGGTTTTTACAACGGCAGTCCGCAAACCTACAAAGAACCCAGAAAAGTGGTAGACTTGTACCTCAACTGTAATAATGTTACACCGGAAATGAAAAATCGATTTATATTCAGAAGATGCAACCAAGTTGAAGTTGAGAAGAATGATGACGAAGAAGAACAAGATGGAGAGAAAGAAACTAATGAAGAGTCTTGATTTTTTGGTGTACATTTAATTTTTTATTGATTATCGTGGAGTAAACTTATTATTAGGAATATTTTAATTTTAATACCTTAAAAGAATATAAGATGAAAATAAAGCTTTATATAAGCTACATGTTAAATCTTGATTCTTAGATTTATAGCTCCATTAATAGCAAAAAGTAACAAATTATACATCAAATTGAAGCAAATTTATATCTTTTTAAACTACAAAAAAAATAGAATCATAAAATGCTTTAAAGAATATTGAACATAACCTAGAAACCATGCTAAAAACAGGTGTTGAATTTATTTGTAATTCTTGACAAATCTGTTATAACATCTTTTAGGGTAATCAAAGCGTTTTGAATCTTGCTGGATAAACGTATGAATATGAGTAGATTACAAATATGTAATAAAAAAATTGCATGTCTTAACACCATTAATACCACCCACACAAACGTCAAAAGTTTAACTTTTAACAGTTATATTAAAGGTTAGCTTACCCAAAGCTGAGCAGCTGGCAAATTGACATCGGAAACCATTTATGTGCACGGATGCTTGACCTGCAGGCGAGGATTCAACTCCAAAAAATAATAATTTCCACTTCTATAGTAAGATATATACGACAGTTTCGGCCGAAATGTAGCCCACCAATTTTGGAGTTATTTGATCTGCCCACTGACGATGAGAAGGACCAACCAATCTAAAAAAGCTGGCTAAGGATTCGCTTCCAAAAGGTTGGGAGAATTGGAAGGTGGCATGCTATGATAGGGAGGTTCTCTTTGGGGAGCCCGTTGATCCCAGCATACTTAATAAGCTCCGTTTTGCCTTACCAACGGTTGGCATTGCCAAAGCATTTAATCCCAAAGGCCACAGTTTACCAGAACAAGTATATAAGAACTACAAACTCCGGATGCTATCTGTGTGTGGCGTTAGTCATCGGGCCTCCTTCATTATCATCACGCATTAGAGGTTCATCCTTCCACCATGAGTTGGTTCTTGCGGCTATAAGCGAGCTTAAGCCACTCCTAATTTCTCGTGAAAAGGCTTGTCTTCACCTTCAGAGTTACGACAAAGACACTAATTTGTGAGATGATGAAGAGGACTGTTCAACATCGACTTCGTCCAAACTCCCCAAGAAAGAATCACGCTTAGCCAAAATGGAAAGGGATCATAATGAATTGAGAGAAATGTTCATGAATTTAATGGATCATTTTCAATCTCACCCAGATGCTATGGACGATAATGAATCAAAAAATGACGAAGCTCTCTATAGAGAGTCTTCGGATGACGAGGAATCTGATATTTGGGGACCACTCACATCTCCAACTTCTGATTTGCGTCAGATCCAGGATCACCCGGAAGAGGAATGGGATTTTAAACCAAGGACACAAGAAATAGAACCGTCCGTCTCAGCGGCAAAACATCACATTGAGCAGCAGGGTATAGAATGCCAACGGTTGGGACTGTCATCCTTCAATAAAATTAGATATGTAGATGCGCAGAAGAAACTACAAGCTTCACCGGTTTTTGGACCATTAAAAACCAATTATCAATTAAAGAACTTGATGCCAAAAAGTTCAGTCCCTGAACTTTTGTCAAAAATGGATGGCTCTTTTGGGACAACTACCCACGGACCCCTCCTCCAACGGGATAATTTTTCTCAAGGTATCAAGGAACTAGTGACAAAGTTTCCACAAATCAGACAGGAAGCCGGTAAGCTGTGGGGTCCTGACTCACAGTTTACGCAAAATTCTAACGATCTCCTACAATTCGTGTGTGGTAAAAGAGCCGAGACAATAGAATTGCGGAGAAAGATGTTCAGACCTCGAAATGACATGGTGGCATCGTTACTGAACAACATACCTCCGTCCAAATCCCATCTCTTTGAAGAAACTGAATTATCGGAACTATTTAAGCAGCACCAGTCATCTTTTAGACCGTCCTTTCGTTTCTCAAAGTTTGACAACCAAAGCAAACATCCACAAAGTACATTTCGAAAAACCCCAACTCATCAAACAGGATCCAGACCCAGAAATTTTCCAAAGACATCAAAAGATTTTAACAAGAATGCGCCAACCACTTCCAGAGCCAAAGAGACAAGCCATACACTAGATTCCCTAACAACAACAACAACAATAAAAGACAATGACTATACAGAGTTCAGAGGAGGACGCTTGCAAAATTTTGTGGCGAAATGGGCGGAAATGGGGGCACCAAGTTATGTTCTAAAAACAATAAAGGACTACTCCATCCCTTTTGTATTCAAGCCTCCTTTGATACACCTATCAATGACAAAATTGCGAAGACCTGCCCTATCCAGTATGAACAGCAAAATAGACGATCTAATAAAACAAGATGTATTAGAGCGATCAGCCGAGAGGACGGCTTTCGTTTCAACAATGTTTCCGGTTATAAAACCAGACGAAGGAGAATTTTATGTTGTGTTTGCATTTGTTTTATATCTTCATATGTATAGAATTTTTTTTTTTATTATTTTTTAAACCATGTTCTTCAGTTCATACGATTAGTTTACTCTTCCCTGACGAAAACGTTGCTTTTAATAATTATTATTAAATGTAATCACAGTACGCATTCCACGTCGTCAGAAACCAAACACTTCTCATATAGGTCAAGCCGATGGCTCGGACCTCAAATATAACCGTTTTCCCCATGAAGGGAAGAAAACGGATATTTCAGGTCCTGCCTAGGCTTGACCGCTTTAACCCTTGACGACGCATATGAGAAGGTACTGAGTAGGGACCACCCGCCGTATCGCTTTAGAAGTGGCGCGCGGTACGGGTACGGGGGGTCGCTTGACACGTGAAAAAGGGGGGAAGGAACTGATTGGATGGGGATGGACGACTAAAGAGCTGAAAATGCAAGAGGGTAATCTCATATAGGTCAAGCCGACGGCACGGACCTGAAATATCCGTTTTCTTCCCTTCGTTACGTTACGAACTTGCAAATCAGACGTCAAGGGCGTTTTTAGAAAGCTTAAAACTTGATATTAATCCTGTTGAGCAAGAAAATTTTAAAAATATTATATTATATTATTATTATATAAGGGGATAGTGACACTTTTAATGCTGGACATGAATATGTTAGCATAGAAAAAGAATATGTTAGTTGTAATAACAATAACTTGTCTAATATTGATAACACAGAACAGAGTGACAATGATAATTCTAATAACGAGAGCAGTAATTTTGATTGGCTTAAGAATTTTCATGATGCTAATTTAAGCAGGGAACATTTAAGTGATAACAATAACAATAAAAGGTTGTTTAGAGACAAACTTTCCAATTGGGCGATTAAAAATAGAATAAAACATGTCCATCTAAATAAACTATTGACTTTACTTATTGAAGAGGGTTATTCTGATTTGCCAAAGGATGCCAGAACGTTATTAGCATCGCCAACAAAACTTAAGGTTGAAAAGTTAGGCTCCGCGAAATTTGTGCACTTTGGTTTAAGAGAAGGACTTTACCAGGCGTTTAAAAACAAAGAATCTTTAGAAAAAGAAATTAAATTAAACTTCAACATAGAAGGACTGCCGATATCTTTTTCAAGTAACAAATGTCTTTGGTCTATATTATGCAATATTGTCATGAATGCACAGACACCGTTCATTGTTAGTTTGTACGAAGGTGTAGGAAAACCCGATAGCTTCAACGACGTTTTATCCACGTTTGTAAAAGATTTACAAAATTTATTAAAAATAAGTTGTGGCTAAAGGACAAAGAATATGAAATCAAGGTAGATGCCTTTATATGTGACGCCCCAGCCCGTGCATCAGTAACGATGGTTCAGAATCATAGCGGATACAATAGCTGCCACAAATGTACTGTTCACGGAGAGTTTTATAATTCTGTCATTTTTTGCGAAACAAACCCAATTTTACGAACAGATAATTCCTTCCGAGCGCGTGAATTTACTGACTATCACAAGCCCGACCGTTCTGTGCTGGAGAATTTGCCGATAGACATGGTCCAGGATTTCCCGCTTGATTATATGCACCTCGTATGTTTAGGGGTTGTCAAAAAAATTATAGATATCTGGCATGGAAAGCCTGGTAAAGGTAAATTAAGCGCTAACATGTTAAAAGACATATCAACAGGCCTTGAACAATGTTGCAAGTGGATGCCAGAAGATTTCACTCGTAAGGCCAGATATATAGGTACCTTTAGAAAATGGAAGGCCACGGAATTTAGAAATTTTTTATTATACACGGGTTCACTAATTCTAAAATTTGTTTTAGAACCAGATTATTATAAACACTTTATGTCCTTAAGTGTAGCTATTTATATTCTTGCGTCTCCCAAATACCACAACATTTATCAAAAATAGGCTCGTGAATTGCTTTTACATTTTGTACAAAGTTTTTCAAAATTATACGGTAAATGCAATATGAGCTATAATGTCCACAACTTAATTCACATTCAAAAAAATGTTGAAAGATATGGGCCACTAGACGGGTTTAGCGCCTTCCCTATTGAGAATTATTTGGGGCAAATAAAAGGACTATTAAGAAGAGGAAATCAAACAAATTTACAACAGAATATCTGAAATAAACACAAACCAAAACAAAGAAGGTTCTCACAATAATATTCCTCGAAAAAAATGCCGTGTTTATTTCTCTAATTGGTCTTGTTCTTTAAAAAACGGGATTAATGTCGTGAAAATTAAAAGCGGCGAAGTTGTTAGGACACAGGTTTCGATTCAGTTAAAAAGCAATTTACAGGAAACAGCCAATAAAATAGAGGCACTGTATAAAAAGCCTTGCGATTCATTAAAATTTGAATCTGGAGTAACTTCTTTTTCTGAGGAACAGGGAATTTACAACTTTGAAGAAGTAATGTGTAAAATGGTTGTCTTACCATTCGAAAACAATAATTATTCTTTTTACATAGTGCCTCTGATTCATACTTTTTCTTAATTAATGTGTATGTATGAATCCTAATTTAAATTGGTTAAAATTATATACTTTAAATCGTTTCAGAGAGAAAATGTATAAAGTTATTGAATTTGTTCCATCCGGAGAGATCGACGTTGTACCTGTTTCCTGGGTTAGTAATGATAAGGTAAGAAATTAATACTACCCTTATACAAACATGTATTTTCTACTATTTTTTTAATATTTTGTAACGTTTTACTTTTGAGGGTATTTAATTTACCACCCGATAGCGACACTGTGAGACGGCCGGAATAAGACTGAGCCCGACGCCTGCCGCCTCACCCCACCTGATTGTGACAACACCCCTAGCAAGACCCTTACCCGACGTAGACAATTCACCCTGGAATTCACCCTTGGGATAACCCTGGTATTACCCCTGTGGTAATGTGGCAATTGCATTCCACATGTATTGTTATCTTAACCTCCTTAATTTAACTAATCATCATATATATATATTTGTAATAGTTTGTTACGTGTAACTTATTATTGTCATGTCATCAATATGTAGAGTGGGTCAGCTAGCTGCCTGGTAACGGTGTGTGGCACTAGGCACAGTTGATGTCCACCCTTGTCATGTAACGATAACTACAATAAACCCCCTAAGTAGTATTTCTGAATATTATTTTACAACACCAACGAACCAACATCACATGGCGATCCTGCCAGTGCACTAATTTAAGTGCCTGAAAGTAAAAGTTTCAGTGAAAAAGTGAAGAAAAGAAAAAACAATACACAACAAGAAATGGGAAATACCAATCGTAAGTCCGAGCAAATTATTGTAGAAGCTGCAGGCTCAGGAAATAACGAAGCAGGGCAAAAATCTGTTTCAAGCGATCTTAACAGGACAGAGTGGATTCTTATAGTTATTATAATAATTATAGCCATAGTTGGACTTATTTACGCAATTAAAAGAATTCGGTTAGGAATAAAACGAATGGTAAGGCATGAGATCAATGTAGCGGAATTAAGAAAATCGCAGGCGGCGTTGGAACAAGCCTAAGAAAAGTTCAGCAGCCCAGCAGTCCAGCAGCCCAACGGTCCAGCAGCCCATCGGTCCAGCAGCCCAGCAGTCTGTGTATGTGTGTGGGTGAACGGTACAAGTATGTGTAGTGAAATAAGTGATGGGTAATGCCGATTGAAACCGAATCTTTGGACGAATTAAATGAGAAGGTTCTGGCGTTCCTGACGAATCTAAAAAAGGACAATACTGAGAGACGGCACAATGAAGAGGTTACTCAACGCAAGCTACAGGAATTAAAGGTATTTAAAGACTGTTTACACAGATTATTAGAGGTATACAAGAAAGACGTTAGTTATAAAGATTTAACCTCCGTTAAATTAGTAGAATATGTTGAAGTTATTAAGGGTAGAATTTTAGAGGGTGATAAAATTTTAAATTTAAGGTTAGAAAATAAAATTGTTTGTGAAAAAAGTACTAGCGTTGATCATACTAAGGTAAACATGGCGGAGGCATTCAGTTTTAAAACAGCTACTAGCTTTCTGCCTAAATTGAATGGTTCGGTGGAACGGGTACACCAATTAATAGAGGGTATAGAATTATACGAACCGTCATTAAACGAAGCAGGGAAGCCGTTACTTATAAATTTTGTCCTTAAAGCTTGTATTTCACACAGGGAAAAAATACGCCTTAAAACTAATTACGAGAGTGCGAATGCGCTAATTGTGGATTTGAAAAAGCACTTTTTGCCTAAACAATCCGCACCAACTCTGGCAGCCCAATTGCAAAACTCAAGGCAGGGAAACCGAAGTATCGAGGAATATGGAAGATCAATAGAAACAATAATGGCTGATCTTACTATAACTCAAGCAAATAACAACCCCGACGCAATCGAAATATTTGGGAAGGAAAATGAAAAATGGGCCATTAACGTTTTCGCAAATGGAATTCAAAATAGTGAGCTACGCACTATAGTCAAAGCACGTCAGTTTGAACGGCTGAGTGACGCAATTAACGAAGCAAAGGAGAAGTCATGGAACGTTCAACAAAATCCAGCGGCATTTCATATACGTGACCAAAAAAAATGTTCAAGGCAATAGAGGTAGAAATTTTTTTAATAGTTCTAGGAACTACGGGCAACCCAATCGTAATTTTAATAACAGGGAAAATTCTAATAGAAATTACTTTAATAAGAACAATTTTAATAAGGTAAATTCCAATAGAGGTAAGTATAATCAAAGGGGTACGCAATATAATCGCGGCCGATTTAACAATTACCGATACGGCAGTAACCGAGGTGGTAATAATCGTGTATATATGGCAAGTGGTAATCAAGAGGAAAGTCAGTCACAAACATTTTTTCGAGGCTTACAATAATAAAAAATCAAAATTAATGACACCAGCAGTTTTAAATATAAATAGTTTAAATTTTATTAGCTTAAGTGATGGTAACAAATGTTTAAAATTTCTTATTGATACAGGAGCTTCAATAAGTGTCATATTTTCAAAATTTGTTGACAAACAAGTACACGAAATTAATTTTTATAATAAGATTAAGGTAAATGGAATATCTGGGTCAACTCAGACGGACGGGTCAGCAGAAATACAACTAAAGGTAAATGGCTGTAGTATTACTCATACATTTTTGCTGATGAAGGAATTCGACAGTAACGTACACGGCGTCATTGGATCAGATTTCTTTGAGAAATACAATGCCATTATTAATTATGAAATGTTTAGCATTTCATTGCTAGTAAATAGACAAAGAATAATGATCCCAATGAAGTCAAAATTTAACAACAACATAAGCATACCCCCGCGATGCGAAGTAATTAGGTACTTTTTGGTGAGGCAGCAAAAGGATTGCATAGTTTTGCCAGAAGAGATAGGTAAAGATGTGTTCGTTGCAGGAGTAATTGCGCGACCAAATAATAATACCATCCCAGTGAGAATTTTAAACACCAGACAGGAACCTATAACAATTAGAAATTTTCATCCAAAAATAACTTGCCTAGACCAATACGAGCTTGTGTCATTTGCTGATAAACATTCATCTGTAGAACGAGTAGAAGAGGTACTTAAAACCGTCAGACGTAGCCATTTAAACAAGGAAGAAAATAATGCAGTTGAACATATTATTGCGGACGTGTTCTATTTACCCAATGACCCATTAACCGTGACCAATGTTTGCAAACATACTATACAACTTGAAAACAATGTGACGCCAGCATATATAAAACCATATCGTCTCCCTTATTCGCAAAAGAGCGAAATTAAAACACAAATAGATAAACTTCTTAAAGATGGTATCATCGAGCCATCTAAATCTCCCTGGTCAGCACCTTTACTAGTCGTACCCAAGAAAGCAGATGAAAACGGAGTACGTAAATGGCGCATGGTAATAGACTACAGGATGTTAAATAAGTGTATTAAGGACGAAAAGTTTCCATTACCTAACATTACAGAAATCTTGGATTCGCTTTCAGGAGCAATGTATTTTTCACATTTGGATCTCGCACAAGGATACTACCAAATTGAATTAGAAAAATCTTGTAGGGAATACACAGCCTTCACCACCAACACGGGCCAATATCAGCTTACCAGGTTACCTATGGGCTTAAAGATAAGTCCAAGTGCATTCTCGAGAGCAATGACCATTGCTATGGCGGGTCTAAATTATGAGTCGTGTTTTATTTACCTTGATGATTTAATAATTTTTGGAAAAAACTTATTAGATCATAATAAAAATTTAGTAAAAGTTATGGACCGAATGCGGGAAGTAAACTTAAAACTAAACCCAAATAAGTGCGATTTTCTTCGTAAAGAAATTTTGTACTTGGGGCATTTAATTTCTTCAGAAGGGGTATCACCCGATCCTGAAAAAATTAGAGCCATTAAGGAGTTTCCAATACCCCATGATTCGCAAGCTACTAAAAGATTTGTAGCATTTATTAATTATTACAGACAATTTATACCAAACTTTGCACATATTGCTGGTCCATTAAACTCTTTAAGTAAGAAAGGTGTAGAATTTAAATGGACAGCAGAATGCCAAAGGTCATTTGAACAATTAAAAAATAAGGTCATGAATCCTCCTATATTACAATATCCAAATTTTTCAAAGGACAATACATTCATATTAAAAACTGACGCATCAGGATTTGCGTTAGGTGCCGTTCTGTGTAATCAAGATGATAAGCCAGTAGCTTATGCAAGCAGATCGTTAAATAAGGCTGAAAAGAATTATTGTACTATTGAAAAAGAGCTTTTGGGCATTGTATGGTCAGTAAAGTATTTCCGACCATACCTGTATGGACGTAAATTTGAGATTCAGACAGACCATCGACCACTTGTATATCTATTTGGAATGACTAATCCATCTAGTCGACTAACTAAGTTTAGACTTATATTGGAAGAATATGACTTTAATATTAAATATATTAAAGGTAAAACTAATGTGACAGCCGACGCGCTGTCGCGTTTTGAATTAAAAGAGTTATCAAATCAAATCGAAGGTACTCTTAACGTGCTTACACGAGCTCAATCAAAATTAATAAAAGAAAACAAACCCCCAGCAATTACAAATTCAGACAACGTGACTAGGACTGATCACCCCGGACTCGTTGAGGTACTGAAAAGACCCAAAACTGCGACTGAATTAAAAATAATCAAGCTTGATAAATTTAACAATTTTTTACTGAAAACAAAATATAAAATGGTAAATAATAATATTATTTATGATGAGATAACAAATACTATTTTAATGGCAGAACCTTGCTCAGCGTCCAAACTACGGTTGTCGCTGAAAGACTGTCAAATTTTATGCGCAAGGAATCTCTAAATGAACTAGTTATTGTAAAAAATAAAGAAGCTGCAGCTCTTATTAATGAAATTGTGAGAAAAACTAAAGAATTTAAAGAAAACGGTGTAAAAATTTCCATCTTAAAAGATGTTCAAACAATAAATGACAACCCAACTAGACAACTTATATTAAATGAATTTCATATGCTACCAACCGGAGGTCATGCAGGAGTAAATAGAATGGCTAATAATATCAAAAAATATTATTTTTGGAGTGGACTTTTTAAGGACGTAGAAAATTTTATTCGAAAATGCGACGATTGCCAAAGATATAAACATTCTAAGGCATATATTGCACCACTTTCAAT